TCATGAATACAAAAATGAAACTGAGGGGGCACAAATCAGATCTGAGGGGGCAATGCCCCCTTTTGCCCCCTCGTGGCGCCGGGCCTGTGCATTCTCCCTCCACCGCTCACCCTCTGCACTTCAATAAAGTTGTTGTTAATTCACCTTAACCTTGTCTGCCGCCTTCTGATTGTGACAAAGGTTCATTAGTTAACATTAGTTAATGTATTAACTAACATGAACAAACCATGATCAATCCATTTGTTACTGTATTCGTTAATCTTTGTTAACGTTAGTTAATAAACATACAGCTGTTCATTGTTAGTTCACAGTGCATTAACTAATGTTAACAAGATTTTAATAAAGTATTAGTAAATGTTGAAATTAACACAAGATTAATAAATGCTATAAACGTGCGGTTTATTATTAGTTCATGTTAACTAATGTTGTTTACTATTGAACCTTATTGTAAAGTGTTACCCCAATAACATATGTGGGACACTTTAGTTTTGCTTACTTGTACAATACAGCAAGAGATGCAGTGACCTGTATGTAGAACCACCAAAATTATGAACTAAACATTACAAAGATTTGTTGGACATGCGCAGAGCTGAAGAGTTATTATAGGCTAATCAACTTTTATATTTAAAAACTCATTCCAGAATAGACTGGTGTCAGGTACTCTTTGGTTAAAGGGATCTTGTCCTTGTCCAATTCCTTTTTGAATGACTAGGTGGAAAGAACGGCAGATCAAAACATCAGAAAACTGCTCTCTTGCTGAAATAGCCATTTGATCTTATAACTTTATATCATCTCGAAACAATTATGACAACATTAAAACATGGATGTTAATTATCAACTAGTCATAATCAAATTGTAAATATCTTAATTCCAATTACAACAGGTCAAAATTGCAGAATATGGAATTGGATTTTTGACTAGTCGCCATTTAAATCTAAATTGGATTATTATGGGATAACCTAATGCTGTCAGAATCTTTACTTAAAAAAATTGTTTCTGTATTTTTAAAATGAACAGTATATTTTTAATGACAGTATATTTATTGAACTTTTTTTTTTAAATTGTAACTTTTTTTAAGGTATAATAAAACCCTATCTGACACCAATACTTTCAACTATAAGTGGAATTCCTATTTTCAAACAAAGCAGTGTAAAAACAGTGTTCACATTTTCACAGGCTCTATACTCCTCATCACAGTTTAACCCCCCAAAAACTCACACGCCCTTATAAACGCCAACATAACAACCTTAAAAACCAACAGGTCAATCTTTATTAATCAGATGCAAAAACATTTAATTTCAGCATTACTCTCCTCTCAGAGACTGAAGCAAAGCATGCTGGGAACTACAAATCTGCTGCAACTGATTCAGTTTGAGTTCTGCTGAACATTATCAAGTCCCCATAACTTTTCTCTATTAAGTGCAATGAACTTTCAGTAATATTCTAGTGAAATTAACTCGTTTCATTTAATAAATGTATGTATGCGGTTTTGTATGTAAATTTCGATGCATGTTTGTGTTTTTTAATGTGTGAACAGGACTTTTATTTTGGTGTAGACATGTGACATCATAAGTATGCGCCATGCTCGTCCATCTGTGATTTGGCTGGAGAAAGGTTTGTGTTTGCATGCGTTTTAAGTGTTTAAATCGATACAAAGTCTTTTAAATAGCGTTTACAATAAATGTTAATAAATTAATTGTTACCGAATGTAACACAGTAAGGCGTTATCTAACATTAATGAAGCTTATTTCTGTGAGTAAAGCACATCCACACGTGAGTAGCAGAAAAGATGCGTCTCATTTCGCGCCCTATAGTGTTTATAGTAAACATCTCTGGTAAACATGAAGTTGTCTCGGGTAAACTGTGACGGGAGAAACGGAGCTCTTCCAAACTCCGAGTCAATTGAGTCAGTTTCTCTGCAATCGCAGGATGATTCCCTGTTAGAGAGCGACACGAACATCAGTAACGTTGATGTGTCTTTTACCAAACAGTTGCAAATGCTATCATTAAATACTAAATATAATTCTTATTTCATTTAATGCATATATAATTCGTACTCCTTCTTACTCTTGAATTAATTTGAAGTCTTAAGTGTTGCAAGTCAGAGACTGCTGCCTTCACGTGCTATCAGAAATGTTTCCACAACATGGTTTTATTAAAGTAAAAGTGGAGTAATGTTTTTTTTTTTTTTTGCTAATTGGTTACCATTTGTACGTTTTACCACAAATACCATGGTTAAAGGTTAGTTTAACATAACCATTTTTTTTTTGTATTAAAACCATGGTTAATTTTCGTGGTTAAAGTGATTTGTTGTTGGAATTAACAGCAATCGCCATGTTCATTCTTGCCTATTTTGTGTGGAAGAAACCGCATTAAAAGGCAAATGTATTGAGGATACATTAGCAGGGCTCTTTAACTCCATTCCTGGACAAACGGTGTCCTGCTGACCCCAAAGTAACAAAGTAAACACCCCAAAATATGCTAATCACTATGTTCATAATTAAGTGTTGAATGAGGGTTGGAACTAAGTCAATATCCAAGAGTTTTTTGAGTAAATTTTACCATCCCATTCGTTGTCAACATTATCCATGGTTTTTTATACATTCACCACTCCAGGTTCAATCGCAAGCCGTTTTAACATTTGTTTTTTTTTTAACTTACTAGTATCTATTTTCATGATACTAGTACTAATTTTTTTATTGCTACTAGTTCTTATTTTGTTTCGACACTGGTAATTATTCCAACTGTGTCTAGTGGAATCAAGACTGCTTCAGTTTGATCTTTAACACTGGACACAGATGACCACTGAGCATTGACGTCAGTGATGTTCCCTCTTACACGTGTGCTAGGCTGCGGATTAACTAATAGGGCTGGGTGATATGGCCAAAATTAAATTATCACAATAATGTATTTATTTTTGTCAGAATATGACAAACACTTGCCAAACAGGTGAACATTTCACAAACCTAATGTAGAACATTCAAAACATTTTTGAATTATTTACACTTTTTCAGTAATTGTTCCTAACCATATAATTGTCTTAATAGAAAAAAGAAGTTTTTCTTAGAAATGCACATTTGACAGTAGTAGTGGCTTGAGTTTGTATGCAGATATACATTTGTTATAAAATGTAATGCATCTGTACAAAATTATATGGTAAAATGTAAATATTCTGACTGTTTGAGTTTTATTGAAATTAACCATAGATCATCCATAGTAGCATACATTAGATAACCACAGTAATACAGCACATCAACACCGTGGTAAAATGTAACTATATGGTTTCTGTGGTATTTGAATGGAAAAACAGTAGCCTAAATAGGCTACATGCACAAACGCTATAGCTTAATCACAAAAAAATACTGTAATTATATTCCATTACTCATTTAATGCATGTTTAAATTAGTGATATGAATATCCCACATGTCTGCCACTATACCATGGTGCCTTTAGCGTTACTACAGTAAATCCGTGGGAAATGATCCACTTTTGTCGCATAAACATTGAGCATTTATCGAAATCGTTATCTAGTTTTATTGAGGAAAATTATATTACGATAATTATCGTTATTGGTTTATTGCCCAGTGCTAAATATAAAAAACAAAACAAAGTCACACGTTTTTTTTTTTTTTTTGCATTTATACCTTGAATTTTTAGGGGAATTTTAATCTATTTTAGGGCATTTTTTGCCTTATTCTTCCATTAACTTCGCCCCTGTTGGCTTTTGTACAGATGCGACAGAAGTTTCCAGCCATTACATGTCAGTGTTAGGGATGAAACGGTATGAAAATCTCATATCACAGTTAAAGTGACCAAAATGATCACGATTATCAATATTATCACGGTTTTGTTAGAATGAGCTGAAAATGTTCAAAAAGAAAAGATGCACTGAAAACATTTCAACAAGCTTTATATTTGAAAATCAACAAACAACAAATTAAATTAGCAGCTCAATGCACTTTTTTAAAGCAAGATTCTCTTCTGTGGCATTTCTGTCGTCAATAGCAACGCATTAGCCTATAACATAGCTAGCCTAGCGCACACCTGTCTCTCGTTCCATTCGAATGCAACTTGCCGTCTTGCGTCTCAGTTTTATTACTGTATTGAAGATGAAATCAGAGGACTTTAGTATCCATACTACTGTAATATTATAGTGATCATCTTGTCTGGACGATTGTTTTGTACACTGTACAAAATGGATTTATAAAGGGGTACGATTTTAAAACATTAAACGCAATTCAATATTTCATATCCTCGTAATTGTTTCTGTGGTAAAAAAAGTGTAACAATGAATATACATTATCCCTTAAATGTCAGCATTAATAGTCTTGTTTGAACTTGTTCGTCTTGGCTGGAAGACACTTGCTGCGAACTTTTCTTTGTGGAAGCTTTGCGTTAATTACAAGTGAGATAATAAAAAATGTAAACTCAAAACAATATTTTGTGTCCAATTATTTCCCCAACTTAGTTTTGATTTTGAGGTCTAAGTTAACATGCCATGTCTTCTCGTACAAGGAACAGCGTTGCACACTGCGTCCGGGTCATGCTGGCCGGACAGGGTCTAAAAACCACGATAATCAAACACGGTTTTAATGATAATCATAGGAAATTTGAAAACGATAATTAACCGCCAGGACATTTTATCATGAAAACGGTTATCGTTCATCCCTAGTCAGTGTTTTTTTCTTTCTTTATATATCCTTGTGCCTGGCTTTACTCCTGGAGTTGTCCATATCTCATGGAAATCAAAGAGTCTGAGGTTCTTCCAGCCGTACACAATTATTTCCCAATCATAACCATGACTCGAGAAGCCGTTCTTGTCCAGTCTCTTAACTGTGAATCTGGTTTTTGCTTCTGATAGCATATAAAGGCATGAGATGGACCCAGGTAATTAGGCTCTGTTTGTCTTTCTGTTCATTATTCTGATCTGAAACATGACAGATTGTCCAAACCCACAGGACAGCTCCTGGTTCGGATCCCCGTGACGTACTGGTATAAAGATGGCGCTGGTGAAAGACGAGAGTGAAGACGTGGTGATCGTGAAACACGAAGATGCAGTGGAACAAACAGGTATTTGATCCTCATTAATATCCTCTACACAAATGAATGTCATATTTTTTTAATTTTACACAAGCTGTGTTCATTATATCGATAAGACGTTGTATTGTCACATTCTCCTTCCCGATACGGGTATTGACCGCTGCTTCTGTTTGGTTTCTGCAGCCAAGCTTAAGTTGAACGTGTTTATTTTAAAGAACTTGTATAAGCGTGAAGCCTAGACTAGTTTATTCCGGTAGTGATCCTTATCATATCGTGTATTTGTTGAGATACTCCTCTGATATGCTACAGCTTCCATTTTGCTGGCTTATTTGTCTATCTTCAATTTCTTCAATATTTTTACTGTTTAAAATGTGAATCTATCATGTTGAATGAGTGCTGTGCGATTAATCAAAATTGCGATGTGAGTGTGCGATTTCTAAACCACAGAAAGCTTGATTTTACCGCCAGACGGATCATGTTTTCCATTTCACTGCTTCACTTTCTCTCTGTTTCTCAATGAACACGTGTGCTAGATGGCCGTCATTAACTGTTGCAGTCTCGCGCACCTTTTAAAAATGTCTCGAGAGCTTGCGCTTTTTGACGTTGTTCTGTGTGAACCGGCCCTCAGTGTGCGATTTGAATGCGAGGTGGATTCAGGGCAGGATAAGGACTTTTTTTAAGGAAATTAAATTTAACATTTTATTATATATTTAACAGTAATATTGATCTGCCTGCATTGACACCATTATACGAGAACTGAGCTGGACGATATCATCACGGTTTTCTCGGGAGAGGCTATATATATATATATATATATATATATATATATATAAAAATAACTTTTTTACAAAATAAATGAAACATCACTGAACTAACTTAAGCTGGACTGTGACGCTATTTTCTTGTGGAAACAAATGTTGTTGCATTATTTTCCTGTTATCTTTGTAAAGCTGATTTTGAAACAATCTGTATTGTAAAAAGCGCGGTATAAATGTGCCTTGACTTGGACAAAAAAATCTATATCCATGGTTTGGTAATATTCAGGAGAGATAATGTGTCATACAGCCAGCTATTTTGCAAGACCTGTAAAATAATCATTGCAGCAAAACAAGAGTAGTGTTCATTCACACAGAATGTGTTTCTGTGGTTAGAAGCAGGAGACGCGGGTCTAGAGATGCATTTTTAGTAGTTAGAACGGAGAAAGCTGTGACTCATGACGAGATGCTGCAAAAGACGCGACACATGATAATACAGGCATTTGCGAACTGCACAACATACAAAAAGAGTTCAAAAGGCATAATGAAATAATCGACGCGGTCACACATAACTTATGCAATGATGCGTGCACCATCCACACACTCGTTTACTGGTGTGAGCGAAGTGGGGAAGGAAACAGAATTAATTAAACTAATGTTTAAATCTGCCACTCTCATGTAATTTGAGTGCTTAACATTCATGAAATAATATATCTGTATATGAATTTAAATTAGGGATGCACAATATTATCGGCATTACATCAGAATCGGACGATAATGGCATATGAATTAATTACCGGATAAGGAACATAACACCGATAGCGCTTGCCGATGCAAAGTGTTGATTATGCTTAGGCGTGACAGGTTTTTGAAAGGAGCGCTGAAGCCATTATGTCAGCCTTGTGGAAATACTTTACAATAACTTTTGTTATTTGCAACGACTGCAAGGCATCAGTTCTGCGAGGAGGAGCCAATCCACAACAAATCTAACAGCTCTTAAATCTTTTAAATATCTTAAAAATCGGCATTGTGATGTTTGAGCTATTCATGAAGAAAAAGAAGAAAAAAGGCTCCAAAGAAACCTCGTCAGAATATCATTCATTCATTTGAAAAGGCAAACACATTCAGCAAAACCCACCCAAAGGTAACAGCTGTGAACAGAAATAACTGAAATGTTTGCTGGTGATTATCAGCTTTTATCGTTGTGGAAGATGAAGGATGTGCCGACTGTTGCTGTAGACCACACATGTTTAATATACAACATAATAAGATTACAATTCCATCTGTCTCTGAAATTAAGCAATGATTGATTCCATGTTATTTTGAAAGATTATGAGAACAACGATATGTTAAAAAGAACATTAGGCCTTTTATTTAATTCTAACCCGTATCCTTTTGGAAACAAAAGCCTTCACGACTGCAGGTCAGCGCAGCTGTAGCCCGAGGGAATCGAGATGATCTCTTCTGGCAGCTAAATGATTTTAAAACATATGCTTCCTTTAAGTTTCGTTGAGGGAGACCGGTTTAAGAACAGAAAACGCAAAGTGCTGTTAGTAACTTAGCTTAGCACACTGTGTGTCTGCAACGTCTGTCGGCGCAGCGCCTTTCTCACTCGAGCATGAGGATATTATTGTTTTTCTCAACATGAACGTGAAACAATAAACAGAATGGGTCTCATTCATGAAACACGAGCAGAACGAATTTTTGTGTAAATCGTGTGTAAAGTGGTTCTGGCGTAAATTTTCGGATTCATTAAGATGTTCGTATTTTCCAAATGTTAGTTGGTACGAGAGAAATCTACACCTGCTCCCAGCCACGCGTAAACAGTGCGCTTAACCCCCCCAACGTTTTGCTCATTAATAACTAAGGCTGCATTTTAATTCACCTTAATCGGGTACATATTTACACAGCATTTTGAAAAAATATTATATAATTACATGCGGTTTTTCTTTTTACTTCTGGGACTGTTTGATTAACAGATGAAACTCCAGTAACTGCATCTGTAATGCTGCCAAGCTGCCTTTTCTTTAGGACCTGATACGCCACTATGTACGCTTGAAAATAAAATGTGGTGTTTTGAATGAACTTCTGATAATAAAACTTCGATTTCTGCATCTGAGAAATTTTTCTTTTTCATTCGTTTTTGAGAAGACATGTTGAAATCCTTCGTTTGGTGTCATAATATGATGCCCATATATAGTTGTCAGTCGGATTTAATGGGCGGGATTTATGGTAATTGAGAGTGAGCGTGCACGCGCGTCCCATTTACGACTGATAGGAATTCATTAACACACATTTCACTATCACATCTGACGTTTACGAAGTATTTGTGAATCAGGAGATGAGTTTTCGGGAAGGTCTCTTTACGCGCAAATCACTCTCATATTTACTCGTATATTTACGAATGTTTCATGAATGAGGCCCAATAATGCTGACTCGAGTGCATGTTCGTTCTGTACGATAACTGTCATAATCTGCTTTATTAGCGTTTTTCCGTTCGCGTTACTTGAGCTTAAATGCTTTTGTTCTTTATATTTTAGTTTGCATGTATTGTTTAATGTTTTCAACTAAAATAAAAGCTTAAGATATATAGTAAGCTTGATGTGTATATTGCCTAATTGTAAGCTTGTTCAATAATAAACTTAAAAAATAACGTCTTTCTCCTTAAATGACATTTAAATAAATTAATATTCGAATATTCGGTTTTTATGAGCCCGAATATTCGAATACAATATTTTTTGAAAAATCCCCATCCCTACTTTATACAAGACTATCGTAAGATAAAGCAGCTTTTTTTGTGGGAGCTTCCTCTGTTTCTCTGACTGAAAATAAAACTGTAGCCTACTGGGAGAGAGTGCTAAAGCTCCTCAGGTCGTAGTTTTGCTGGCATATTTGCTGAAATAATCATTCTTTATAAATGTGATGTAAATATGTCCTGTAACTACCAAATAAACAGAAACAGACACGACTGAATGAGTAAGTCTATTTTCTTTCTTTTTTGAAATAGACTTAACGGCAAGCCACTTTATTTCTGTGTGACTAATGTGCAATTTTGATGCAAATTAATTCATTATGATCAATGTATCACTTATTATTGTAAACCTGTGGTAAAACATTGATTCTTGGGTTTTAAATATTCAAGTAAACAACAAAAATGCCTGCAAACGGTCGCTTTTATCATGTTTGTTTTGCGTTCACGCTGTTTCCAGTGATTTCTTTCCGATTAGTTTTCTGATAAAACTTTTTATTTTTTCATAAAACTTCCATTTGTTGGTGAAAGGATGGGTTAGTGTGACGTTGTTCCAGAGAGGCGTGTTACGGCACGGCCCTAATGATCAGAATATCGACTTGCGTAATAGTTATGCACACACTGCATTTAAAGGTCATTATCAGTGTTAATATTCCTCTATTGCTGTAACTCAGACTCGAGTGATGTGGTTTTTCTCACAGATGCTCCAGTGCCTCATCCAGCCAAACTTCGCATCATTCTTCAGGAACATGACATTCGCAAACTGGACTTGCCTCAGGGAATCCCTGGGAGTGTGAATGAGCTTGAGCATATCGTGAGGAAGACATTTGGCCTCATTGGGAGCTTTACTTTGCATTATAAGGATCCTGATTTCGGAGAGGAGTATTTCTCTGTTACCTCAACAAGTGACATCAAGGACAAGGACACGATTAAGGTGATTCACATTGTTGAACCTCCTACACTTACTCTGACCTTTACCAATGTGGATAATTCTGTTAAAAGTGCTTCAAAGACCTCAATCCAAACCTCAGCGTCCTCGGTCTACACTTCAGTGACCTCCGTCCATCCGTCCAACAGCAGTTCCTCTCCTGGATCTCAGGATACGTCGACTCTTTCCTCGCCTGAACACAAGACTCAGCGCTCACAGCGTTGGCCTACTGAATTCCCAGTACCTCGCTTTGCGTATGACTCAGAACTTGTGCTTGCTTCAGGAAACGAAGCTTTCAAGAAGGATGGATTTCAACTCAACTTCACCTCAATCCTTCCAGACATCCTGGAGAAACTGGCCGAAAGCATCTTTCAGTACGTGGCCTATCCAACAAGCGCACAGTTGTCCGATGTCATCGAGGCGCTGATTCAGAAACATCCTTGCCTTCGAGAACCGGGCTCGTATAATGGATGCTACCAATGGCGACAAAGACTAAAATATAAAATGGGCAACTATAGATCGAAACTGAGAGGTCTTGGATGCCCTGAGCTCGACGTGAACTCTCTCAAAAAGAAGCGAGCACATGAAAGAGCACCAGCCAAGAATATCAAGAAGCCCAGAAAGGCAGAGGTGAACTTCTTGCCGCCTCACCCACAGGGAGAAACTGAAGAAAGCTTGGAAAATGAACGAGTGGCGCTCCTTAATGAGGTGAAGATGAGGAACAACTATCAGATCATCTGTGAGAAAATGGCAAAGACATTCTCCTTCCGCAGACAGGAGGTTGTCAGTTACGCACTCTCAGTCAGTGATTTAAAAAACAGATGGCCTGCTCTTTTTTGTGCAGATCAGGTAAATATTTTGTGCTATATGCTAATGTGCTATACTAAAGTAAATTTTCTACATTAACAAATTGTGTTTTTCCTGCAGATAAACAAAGAATTCACAAGGATCACCACTGTTAACCTGGAGGAAACTTTCATTGCAAAACTGGACCACTACTTCTCAAAAATAATTTCCTTGGTGTTGACAAGAAGAGGGCCTGCGACCATGAGCATTCAGCGAATCAGGAACATGCTGCTAGAGGTATGAGTGCCTCAATCAATGAGATGTGTGTGTATAGTGCTTTACTATACACTACTGTGCACTCAGCTATGGGTGGAGAGTGAATATATGATGTGTAAGAATAATGTCAAGTCACTATTTATTAGACTTGTAGTCAATACCGCCTAAACCGAGACCAAGACACTACCAAGATCAGAGGGTATCGAGACCAAGACCAAGTCGAGACCAAGACCAAGACCGGAGGGGAAAAAAACAGACTAGTGTTGTTGAAGCTAAGCAATAACTTGTAAGATTTTGTTTTGCTTTGCCTGCCTATCTCTGCCGATTTCGAAGTCTCCAAATGAATCCAAATGACTTCAATCCGTTGCGGATATCGTTGTGGATATTGTAGTATTGTATTGCTAAATCCCCCGACCACTATGTCGATCTGAGACATCAAGACCTAGACAAGACCGAGAGGTCCAAGACCAAAGACCGTCAAGGCCGTGACAAGACCGAGCCCACGTAAAAGTGGTCTCGAGACATGCATCACTACTATTTATCGAGTCTTTATTTATAGAGTGCTTTATACAATACAGATTGTTTCAAAGCAGCTTCACAGTAATAAACAGGAAAATTACAGAATCAGACTTCTTCAAATATGCCGTAAAGCAGCTCTACAGACGACAATAGTGTCAGTATTCAGCTCATAAATACTAACATGTTCACCTTTTATGGCTTTAATAAGCTGCGAAGTGCAATACCAGCGCTACCCGCTGTGCTGAACACACGTTCAGATAGAGCACTGGTAGCTCATATACACAAATATTTACATGCAGTGTTGGCAATGAGAGGGAACCGTTAGCTTTTCAGCAAGTTTGTGGGTTTTCTTGTCCATCAATAGCCATTTCCTGAAGGTACATGGACATCTCTGCTTCACCTTTTCATGAGCGTTGAGCATGGCTGCTGTAGCTGCTCTATTCCCTGCAAGGATGCCCAGTGAACCCTTCTTCTTGTGTGCGGTGCCAGCACCTGATCCCTCTTCCTCTTCCTCTCCTCTTACTTGTGCCGGACCGGGTGTCGGACTCGCACGTGTTGCTGCCGCCAGTTCAGTTTGGATCTGAGTGAATGGAGATCGTTTTGGCAAAGGTGTTCTCTGAACACAGAAAACTCAAAGGAAAACTTCTCCGTTTTAAGCACAGGGCCTGAATTTCGTTTTTTAAACTGGGGGGGGACTCCCCCCTTACATGGGTCACATGGGGGGATCTAATGATTATGGGGGGGGGGGAGAAAAACTTTTGATGCATCGGTCTAATTTAATCATCTTCATTTATTAATATCTACAGATTTGTATGCATGAATTGTGCATTTCCAGTTCTCAAAACAGTTAATAACAAAACAAACAAAAAACGTTACACAAAATACACCATGCTCTTCTTCAAATTGACATTAAGACCTGTTTAAACTAGGCCTTGGCTATATATTAATGTCTCTCTATTTCAGTGTCGTTCATGTGTTTCAGTTCAGTTCATTTCTTTGCTTTTTTTTAAAACGTCATACAAAATACGCCATGCTCTCCTTCAAATTGATATTAAGAACTCAGTTTAAACTGTATGTATTTATGTCTCTCAGTTTCAGAGTATTTCATGTGTTTCAGTTCAATTTCAGTCACTTTTTCCCATTTATTGTTACTTTTTTCATGTGACTTATTCTAAGTTTCTCATCTGTCTCCTCCTCGTCATCTCTTTCCATTTGATGATGGCTCTGTTGAAGTCAAACTGCTCAAGGGAAGGTCCAAGCTCTGAAATGATCATTAGAATTGTGAGACTTGTATTATTCAGTGAATTTCTGAATTTATTTTTGATCCTGTTTTGTGTGCTGAATCCACGTTCACACGACACACTCGCAACTGGTATGACCATGGCTGTCTGAATGAGTTTCTCCGTTTCAGTGCAAACATGACTATGTTCACTTAACACAGTCTCTGCAAACTGCTGAAAGGACAATGAAGTATATGAATCACAGGAGACCATGGCTTCAGGTTTGTCAAAGTCAAAGAGTCAAATAGTTTTATTTGTCATTTCAACCATATACGGTACAGTACACAGTGGAACGAGACAACGTTCCTCCGAAGTCATGGTGCTACATAACACATATAGAACTAGTCATAAAATATGTAAAATAAATAAAAATTCCTATATAAAGTGCACATGCAGAGACTTGTGCAGAGTATTGGACAGTACAAAACACTTTTAAACATTGGACACAACAGAAGTGACACTGAGACAGTGCAGTGCCGACCAATACAGAGTAGTGCAAACAAATATTACAAATGTAAACAACATACTATGGGATAGTGTTCTATGCACATAGCAGTTGCTGAGGTAGCAGACAGTTAAAAAGTGACCGTTTACAGTTTTGTAAAGTGCAACTCGGGACACGTGTGTGTGTCATACCAGTTTTTGAGTATTTAGAAGTCTAATGGCTTGGGGAAAGAAGCTGTTACACAGTCTGGTTGTGTGGGCCTGAATGCTTCGGTACCTCTTGCCAGACGGCAGGAGGATAAAAAGTTTATGTGAGGGGTGGGTGGGGTCATCCACAATGCTGATTGCTTTGCGAATACAATGTTTTACATAAATGGTAAATGGTAAATGGACTGCATTTATATAGCGCTTTCACAGACCCAATGGCCACCAAAGAGCTTTACAATTTGCCTCACATTCACCCATTCACTCACTCATTCATACACTGACGGGCGACGGCAGCCATGCAAGGCGCCATCCAGCTCGTCGGGAGCAGCTGGGGTTAGGTGTCTTGCTCATGGACACCTCGACACTTGGTCAGGTGGAACCGAGGATTGAACCACCAACCTTCCGGTTTGTAGACAACCCACATGAACCACTGAGCCACTGCCACCCCGATAAATGTCTTTGATAGAGGGAGAGAGATCCCAATGATCTTCTCAGCTGTTCTCACTATCCTGTGTAGGGCTTTGTGGTCCGAACCGGTGCAAGACCCAAACCAGGCAGTGATACAGCTGCTCAGGATGCTCTCAATAGTCCCTCTATAGAACAAAGTGAGGATGGGGGGTGGAAGATGTGCTTTCCTCATCCTTCGAAGGAAGAATAGGCACTGCTGGGCTTTTTTGGTAATGGACTTGGTGTTAAGGGACCAGGTGAGGTTCTCTGCCAGGTGAACACCAAGGAATTTGGTGCTCTTAACAATCTCCACAGATGAGCCGTCGATGTTCAGCGGAGTGTGTTCGCCTAGTGCTCTCCTAAAGACAACAACCATCTCTTTTGTTTTGTCAACATTCAGAGACAGGTTGTTGACTATGCACCAGTCCATTAGCCGCTGCACCTCCTCTCTGTATGCTGACTCATCGTTCTTGCTGATGAGACCCACCACGGTCGTGTCGTCGGCGAACTTGATGTGGTTCGAACTGTGCATAGCTGCACAGTCGTGAGTCAGCAGAGTGAACAGCAGTAGACTGAGCACACAGCCCTGGGGGGCCCCAGTGCGCAGTGTGGTGGTGGTTGAAATGCTGTTTCCCATCCGGACTGAGTGAGGTCTCCCAGTCAGAAAGTCCAGGATCCAGTTACAGAGGGAGGTGTCCAGGCCCAGCCGGTCCAGCTTTTCAATCAGGTGCTGGGGAATGATTGTGTTGAATGCTGAGCTGAAATCTATGAATAGCATTCGAACATGAGTCCTTTTTGTCTAGGTGGGTGAGGGCCAGATGGAGGGTGGTGGCAATGGCATCGTCCGTTGAGCGGTTTGGACAATACGCAAACTGCAGTGGGTCTAGTGAGGGGGGTAACTGGGTCTTGATGTGCTTCATGACGAGCCTCTCGAAGCACTTCAGAACTAGAACGAGAGACTAGTACAGAGTTCTTGCACCATTCAGTGTTGATGTAAACACACAAGCCACCACCACGAGTCTTACCGCAGAGAGCTGTATTCGTTGGCACGAAACGAGGTGAGCCCGTCTAGTTGAATGGCGGCATCCGGAATTCTGTCGCTGAGCCACGTCTCCGTGAAAACAAAGACGCAGCAGTCTCTAAACTCACGCTGCGTAGTCTGCTGAAGTCGGATATAGTCCACTTTGTTGTCCAGGTAGCAAACATTTGAGAGAAAGTTAGACGGGAGAGCCGGCCGGCTAGGGTTTGTTTTTAACCTAGCATGGACCCCCGCCCTCTTGCCGCGCTTCCGCTTCCTCGCACACCGCTTGTGGCGTCCTCCACCCTGGCCACCAGCCTCAGGCGACGCCGGGGTCTCGAGTCCTGGTCTCCGTAGCAGGCTGAGTTCGCGAAGCGTCTCCTGTAGTTCATCATGCAGCTTGGTATTTGCATGAGACTTGTGGCTTAAGAGTGTTTGACGGTGGTAGACACAACCACTGTTTGTTCCGATGTCCATGTGCCGCAAGAGTCGGGCTTTAAATAAAAAGAATATAAAAAATAGCACCATTTTCGGGTCCGGAGTGGCCGCTGCGTACTACCGCGCCGCCATCACGGCTTTACCAACCTCCGGAGTTTACCAACCAAGGAGTTTGTAAACTCCAGATGAGCTTCCTGCATTTTCACATCGGATGAGAAGTATTTCAGCAGATTGTTTAATTTCTCTACACCATAAAGACTGAAATTCTCTGAAGACTGTTTGGCAGCGGTGGCCTTTTTTGGCCCCAAAATGGTGAAGCATAAAAGAAGACTGATTGTGTCAGCAGGGAATCTTCTGTCGATTTCATCAATCAAGGATCCAACATACCTGCTCTTCATGTTATCAAAGGTTGGCTTTTGAGTATGGAATTCAAAAAGTTTGTCTCCTTTAAATTTGATTCCCTCAAGACAGCTGAAGAATTCTTGTTCTGCTGGACCAGGATGAGCTATTAATTGTCTCAGTGCTTCTTTGGTACCCTGGGTCATTGGTTGGACTGTGGAAAAGTCCAAGTCTTCCCTTTGAAAGGAGGACTATATGTGTAAGCACATCCTTCATGTGACACAGTGCCACAAAGTTGGACTGCCGAACAAGCAATCAATAATCCTTTG